ATATATATATATATAGAGTTTTATTTTTTATTTTTTTTCTATAAATACACACATGCATGCAATACTTTTTTCTTATAATTAATTATTAAAGCTAACAATATAAATAATGTATAAGATAATGATTAGTACAATTATATTAATTATATCAATTATATTGATTCCCTAAAGTCTTAGATACAAAAATAAATTATTATACACAATTTGATTATATTATTAAATAATTATTTTTTCTTCTCAAAAATTATACTTTATATAAAATTATATTAACTATTTAACTATTTGAATATAACATGAATTAATGGTAACTTATTAATATAACAATTTTTAATATAAAAATCAATCACATTGGCTAATATTTGTTTCCTTTGGCAGATTAAAAAACAATCATTCTCATTATTTAAATTTCTATATTTTTCAAGAATAATAACTATATTTTCATTTTAGTTTCAACGACATAATTTTTTATTTGCCTTAAAGTTTAATTTATAATTTTTTATTCTATCATAATAAAATATTTTTCCACTTAAAATTAATATTATTGTATGATACTAAAAATTATGTCTAATCTTTTATTTGTTAAGCTGCTTTACTGCTAGCTGTATAGCACTTTTATTGCCTTTTCATTTTTTTTTTTAGGAAATTTAGTTGCTTTTGTTCGTTTATTGTTTCCTTGTATACGTTTTATTTTTAATGGTAAATAATTAGGTTCATTAGTTTGGTATTCTTTTAACTTATGCTTTTTTACGTGCTTCGAATTTGTGTCAGTATTAATTAATTTCGACTCACTAGATAATTGCTTTTCTTCTATATTCTTTTCATTCTCGCTGATATCTACATATCTCTTATTTTTCAATGTTTTTATGCTATTTTTATCGTTGATGGAAACAAAATCATTACTTAAAGCAATAAATTCATCTGATGGTATTTCAGTTAAAGAAGTTTGGTTGACTGTTGGCGGTATGAAAGCTCTTTTGTTTTTTAAAGATCTATATTTATATACAGTTGTAAATACTGTAATAGGTATTTCTGACTTAGAAATACTTGGAATTGGATCACAATCCATATCTGTAATCTTCGGTTCACAAATTATTTTTTTATCAGATATCTCATCAGGTTTAAGATAGTTAAGTAGGCATTCTGGCAATTCAAAATCTTCAGAAGCTTTTGCTATCGATTTATATAATAGATGGCAAACATTATCCGGACATTGCATTATTTCTTGCTACAAAAATAACAAATTTTTTAAAAATATCTAAAAATATGTATCTTTATGATAGAAGATAAAAAAATATTAATATATTACCTTTAAAGCAAAAGCTGTTGTGGCAAATCCTAGTTTTTCTAATGTAACTATTTTTAGAGTGGGTAAAAGAATAACAGGTATTTTTTTGTTCATTGCCATAATAATAATATGCTTTATCATTAAAGGCGGTTCAACATTAGCATCTAATAAGACACAACATATATCATCCTTTTCTAAAGCTCGAGTGACTGCATTAATACCCATGATCATAAATTTCCTAAATTTTATAAATTAGTTAAAAATATATCATCTGTACAACAGCAAGTTATCAAAGTTTAAAAAAGAATATATTATATTTATATCATTTCAAATATCAAATAGATTTAAATTATAAAGAAGTTGAAATATAAACAAAATATATAGGCTTTAATATTTTTACAATCAATAAAATTTTTACCCTATTATGCAAATGTCTTGATATGTGTAACATATAACTTAAAATTTAAATCTAAATTTCAAGCTGCCTTTGCTTACAATAAAGGTATAGAAGGTACTCACAATATATCTGGTTTCGGAGGTGCCTTTTCTAGCATCTTTTGTTTTATTGATGCACGATCTTCTTTTGATACTTTTTTATATACATGCATGGGAATTTTATCAGGCCATTTAATTGATGGCAATGCTCTAAAATATATATCTTAATGGTTATTAAAAATATTTTCCAAGATTATTCATATATTGTAATCATTCTTACGTATTCAAATTTTTCAGCAATTCAGGATACTGATCCACATTGATAACTGGCCTATAAAAAGATTGTAAAAATAAATAAAACTTATGATCATATCTTTTAGAAGATGTTGATATTATTATACTAATTTATTAAAAATCAATAAAAAATTCTTCAAAATTAATATGCAAAAATACCAAAAATTTAAATTGGGTTGTGCCAAGATATTCCGTAATCCCTTAGCACGTCCTTTTTTAGCAGATAAGCTGTGCCTCTGCTCTTTCTTTGTCAATATCGGCGTAGTGCCACTGTATTCACACGGTTCCAAAGTCATCATTCTGTCCAATATTAAAATACAAATGATATTTCTTTGAAATTACTTGGAAATATATGTTGTTAGATTTTTTTATAGGTTAGAAAATAGTTTATACACGTCGGTACGAAGATTCCGGAATTTCAGGCGCATGCGTACTTGCGTACTATATCGAATTGTTAAGAGTAACCTTAATGTCATTTGACTTATGATAAGTGATTTCCTGAAATCTGTCCTTTAAAGAATATAAAAAGACTGGAAAAACAAATTTAATTCGTCAATGAAATGATATATTTGAAACATTTAATAGCAAAATATAGATTGAGATGATCACTAAACAGAAATTAATTCTTATGTACATGTAAGTTGTTTTTATGTAAAATATATGTATATTTTTAAATAACATCTTTTAAGTTATACATCGTAATATATGTTTTTGTAATAATATATATATATATATATATATATATATATATTACTATATAAATTTATATATGTACATTCAGATGACATAAAATATCTTGAAATTGTCTTGGACGAAATCAGAACATTTTAAGACTTCAGGATATTCTAGACATATTCTAGATGATTTTAGAATGTTTTGTCTAAGGAACTTCATTTTACGAATTTTATTTTTTATAATATCCTATTTTTAGATAAAATTTCATTTCTCTGCATATACTACAAATATAGACTTTTATAGTGATAATCGCAAATTACAACATGAATAAAAGCATGGATGTCTTGTCAGAAGAAATTGATGAGTTGATGTTACGTAAATTAGAATTAATGGAAGAAAAAGTTCGTGAAAATATTCAAATGGAAGCATTATTGAAGGATGGTCATATTGAATTGGCAAAAGCAAAATATATTCGTGGAAAGGAGAACATTAGTATTCTACAGGTTCCAAATAATAAAGATACAGTGACATCCTTATTTGACTTAGAAACTAAAATGACAACTGATGATGATACTGTGCCATGTTTTGACATTAGTTTTAAAAAGTCAAACGATGTAGATGAACCAGGAGATCCCATAAAATGGTTTGGTGTATTGGTCCCACAAAACTTAAAAAACAGTCAGAAACGCTTCCAGGAATCCATTTATCTTGCTGCAAAAATAGCAAACATACAGGCAGAACTTATCTCTGTATTTTCTAAGCTCAAGGCATTATATGTTCAAAAAGATAATTTATGTTCCCTAAATATATTAAAACTTAACAAATAAAGATTCTTATTAGATCTTAGAATTTCAGAAAGTAATAAATATTAAACCAAATATAAATAAAGATATTAAACTTTTTAATGTGTAATATGTTAAATATTAAAATTTTAAATTGTAGAAAATTTGTTAATCTAATAATATGCATAATTTTATGTATAATATAAAATATAATATATAATGTCCATATTCTATAATTATATTTTCTTACTGTGTGTATATCCATCTTCATCTCATGGAAAGCTGCGCTTCGATATTCACGTTATCAATACTGAAAATCTATAATACATCATGAAATGAACTATATTTTGTTTTATCTTTTCACGATTAGGTTTCTTGTAATTTTAGTTATATCAAATTTAATGGGAATGTTATTATTTCTACAATTTTTTTTCAATATTAACTTTATCATTCTTTTAATATTAACAAAAACATATTTTATTAAAAGATTTCAATAGAAAAATAATTTATTAAAATAATCTAATGTACATTTTCAATTTATAGAAAATAGTTTATTGAAAATTATAAATCTTTTACAAATTAAAAGTATAAAGTCAAAAATAAATTTTACAATACTTATTTACATTTATAATTCGTATCTTACGAGTGTGCATTACCGACACTTTATGAATATAGCATGGAATAGAACCAAGCATTTAGTACGATATCCGTCGGAAGAACCTAAGCGGTAGGATCCATTTTAATATCATAGTCGCATCAATAGCGCACGCGATGAGCGATTTTAACTTGAAAAGTGGCGAAGAGGAGAAAAGTGATGAAAATGAGAAACAGCATGAAACAATAACGTTGATTCTTAAAGAGGAACGATTCGAAGTGGACAAACAAAAATTGATCAGCAAAAGTCAATACTTTGCCGCGCTTCTGTCCGCAAACTATTTAGAATACCAGCAGACCGAACATGTTATTAAGTATGAGATACCTACAGTTTCGTTGCAGGTTTGTTGACTCTAATGTTTACTTCAAAATACTTAATATAAAATTCATTTTTTTTAAATGGTTTTTTTTATATTAACATTAATTTAAAAAGTATACTTTTATATCCTAATTTGTGTAAAAATTATAATAGATATTAATTTAAATCGTCTTATGTATAAATGAAATGGAATAATTTTATAGGCTTTTATTAATTGGATTCACAATGATAATCTCGATACTTCGAAGCACGAATTAAATGAAGACTTTGATCACCTTTTAACCTTGTTGGAGTTAAGCGTTTTATTTGTGGCAGATAATTTAGTAGAAGATATAACAGATAGGCTCGAAAAAAATTATTTGTCACGACAATATCTAATTGATATCTGGTCACTAGCACAAAAATTGAATATTAATGTGCTACAAGATCTTGCTTTGGCTGCTTGCTTACATCATTTTAATGAATTACCGCTTTATTCAAGCTATGAACTGCCAAGGGAAGATCTTCTAAAGTTAGTTGGAAATATTAATATGAAATCTATGGATTCTCATTTGCTTAATACTATTCAAGAATGGATGATTCATCATCATGAAGTAAGTATATTCTTTTTTAAATGATCTCTTTTTAAATGATCATCTTTATATTTCAGAATAATTGAGTCTTAAAAAAATATAGAAATTTTAAAGTTCTGAACTTATTTTTATCTTTTACTAAGAAATTTAAATATGTTATTAATATTTGATAAATGACTTTTCAGCCAATCAAGTGGTTTTATTTTTAAAGGCACTTTTATCAATAAATATAAGTTAAGAATATAGATTAAAATTTTTTATTTAAGTTTTACTATTATGTATATTTTTTTTATAATAATTTCTATATTAATTTTTATAGTATTTTTAAATTTTTTTATTTAAAATTTTTGGTTTGCCAATTGTAATCATATTGAATTTTGATAATAAATATATAATTTACTGTTATTATAC